GATTTTATCTTAAATGGGCAGACAATACATGAAGAAAGATTCAGCTGTTTCCTTTTATTATTTTCGTAGTATTTAGTTATTAATTTGTAATTCATTTGAGTGAAAAGAAATTAATTATTTGTTATAAATATAATTGCTCAAAAATTGCACTTTTTTTAATAAATATAACCCTTTTATTGCAGTGTCTGTATTCATTAGCCAATATTTATTCAGTTGACCACTGAGAATTATTTTTTTTAGGTTCTAAGTTAAGCTTTAGTAGATCTGGGCCAACTTGAACAGTCCAAACCAAGATAAACCAAGATGTGTTTTAGTTTAACTTATTTTAAAAGTATTATGCAATATAACAAAATATCATTGGCAAACAGAAAGATAGCACTACAACTGATTTCTATTATTAACCCTTTTTTCAAGTTATTATAATTACCCAACTAAATGATTTGGAAAAAGATGCATTTGTTTGAATATTTTTCATTTTAGGTTGAACACGTTTTGGCAAACTAAGCAACAAGTAAAATAAATATAATTCCATTTTTCTGATTAAATGCAACAATAGATCTAACAAATAAAGGTCACTGCAAGAAGTGAAATAAAGTATAATTTATAATTAAATACATTGATAAATAATAATTGCAAAAGACCATATAAAAATACTATTCTCACAACTAAAAAAGATTCTCAGTTGACTCATATACAGAAGAAAATGGTAGTTAATATAAATAAAATAAATGTTATTTTAATCAATCAATAAAAATATTTTTTACGTGTAATTAGCAACAAACTACTTATGCATCATTGTATCAATATTTAAAAATAAAACCAAAACATTAATTTTTATTTTAAATATTAAAACTAATATTTTATATTCAATAACACTAATGTTTTTAATCTAATTTTATAGAACTATTTTAACTACAATATGTGTATAAGTTATACTTTAATTAGAAATTAACTAAATTTATAACTTAAACTAGCATAAAAAGCAATACAGTCATTTAAAATGAATTCATGAATAGATAATATCTAAGTTAATACAATGAATGAATAACACTTATGCATTCTGACCAAAATTATACATTGACCTTAGAGCAAATTTTATAAACAATACTTTTGTAAAAAATATAAATCAACTTTTTAGTAATAACTTGAACATTGACACATTATTGTTATAAACATGTACAATAAAAAAAAAATTCCAGAAAAAGAACTGAAGGTATTATAAGGTATGCTTGATACAACTTTTGTTTTCTTGAATATTTGTTTTGAGATGACAAAAAAAAACATGTATGAAAAAATAATATGAAGAATATTGATAAATAACAAATTTGTACGAAAATAATTAATCTAGGTGATTAATCATTATTGTCAATTTTAATCTTCTTTACTCACTGATACTTACTTAGTTGTCAAACAAAAAACACTATTTCATTTAAAACAAATTAGTTTTATGCTGATGAGTAAGCAGGTGTCTCACCAAAGTTGTTTTTTGTGCAAATCCTTTGAAACACTTTGTACATTTATATGGTTTTTCTCCCGTATGAGTATTTAAATGTGCTTTATAGTTAGTGGAATAAATAGTAGAATAAGAACACAGTGAACAGTGATGGGTCTTGGGAGATTTAGAAGTCCAATGACTATATGTGTTAGCCTTTCGCAACTTTATACCTGTAAAAAAATTTATACTTATTTTTGTACAGTATGAATAAAAGCTCAATTTCGTTAAATTAATTACTAAATTTGAATGAAAAGCAATTTTTGCATAAAAATGGTGATTGAAAAAATGATTTTTCTATCATTACCTTTATCATATAAGTTAAGTTTAAGAAATAAAAAGACAAATTCAGACTATATTGAAATACTAAGAAAAAGTTTAGAAGAATGCATGTTTGAAAAATGCTTTAGTAAAATCTGTTGCAGTAATAGATTAAAAATACTCTTTCTCGTATAAATATCAAATAATTGAACTCGTTAAATCAACAATTCAGTTGGTCTTGGAATTACCAATTTTATTGTATTTTATATAAAATAAAAAGAAAACTATCCGTACAAATAGTTAGTAACACAGAACATGTATTTTTATTCCTGATTTCAGTAATCATTTGCATATTTTAATGCTTCAATTATCTAATAATATTACAATATTGATTTAAAGCATGTTGGAACAGAAAAATTATTCTAAATTGTTGTTTTATTAACAAATTACACGCTTTAATTAATAATGCATAAAAGAGATGTGGCAGTAAAAACACGACAGATACAATAACTTTTGTCAAGTTTGATAGAAATTATTGGATAAAATAATCAGAATCAATTTCTCAAGTGTTACATTTAAATGTGTCAACTACACATTTTAGGTCAAATTTAGATTAATACAGTATAAGTTAAATTTAAAATACATTACAGGGATAAAAACTAAAAAGATTCAGCCGGTAGTTCACAGACTAAATAAAATATATTACAAGACTAAAATATTACTATTAAGTACACATTTGCCATGCTTTGTTTCTATGTCTCTGTCAGTTATTAATAAAGTTAATTTAAATTTAAAAAATTACAATACATAGAATGCATAATCATCTTTAATCAGGATTTCAGCCAATTTGAAATTTGGTTTGATATTAACACTATTTTTTTTTGTGTGTGTTTCACTAATTTTGAATGCAACTAAACACTAAAAAAAGTAAATTTGTGAATTACCCTTTAGTTAAGCATCTTTTTAAACTGTGTATATTGAACTGTTAATTGGTTTGAAATAATTTTGAATGAACTTAATAAAGAGAACAATTCAAACTTTTTGAATAACTTGTCTCAATTATACAAGATTTGATTTCATGCTCTAAAAATAGCAAATAATTATGAACCAATTCATCTTTATAAAATTTCGTAAGAAAATTTTAGTTTTTTCATTTATATATAATTTTTTTCAAAAGTCATAAATATTCAGAAACAAAATATCAGTTAGAATAAATTAGATACCTCAGTTCCTTTCATACAATTTGTGCATGGATTCAACAAATCAAATTTTTGTAATTTAAAAATTATTAAGTTGTGACAGAGTTATTAAATTGTGTATAAAAAAAAATTGCACGTCTGTACTAATAAAACCTTTCTAAAACTTGTTTGGAAGATCGTAAATCAGCAACAACTTAAATTTTATGGGTAGTAAAATGTCTCTTCAAAGTTGTTCTTTGGGCAAAACCTTTATGGCAAATGACACAAACAAAAGGCTTTTGACCAGTATGAGTATTTAAATGTGCCTTGAAGTTAGTTGATATCAGGGAAGAGTAGCTACAAAATGAACACTGGAAAAGTTTAGGTTGCTTGATAGAACTTCCATGGTGCACAACATTCCTCCAATCTAAAATTACGAAATAAATTCAAGCAGTTTAATTTTTAATAAATAGTTAGTATAAAAATTAAATTCAGCAAAATAAATTGTCACAAATAGGAATAAATGAAAAGAATATGGAAAAAAAATTTTTTGAGAATAATCATGGGAGTTAACACATTAGAACCCAAAATAATTCATGTGGTTTTCTATATAAAATATTGTAATTTTTTTAATCATAATCTAAAATTTATAATATTAAATACTAAATTATAATACCAAAATTTATATTATAAATTTATAATTATTATTATAAATTATAATACTAAAATTTATAAATGTTAAAAACATTTTATTCAAAAACTGTAAAAGAAACAACCCAAACTAGTAAAAGCGTTTTTATTTAAATCAAAGTAAAAGTTTTCAAATTGTGCTTGTACTTAAAGTTTTTTGAGAGGTGAGGTGCACAATATAATTTTTTGTTAAATGATTATAATTCAAATATCGAAATTTCAACTACAAAATTAAAAAAATTTATTTATACAAAAAATTTTGTGGGAAACATAGTAATTTCTTTTATTTAGGGTGATTTTAAAATCATGGGACAAACTTGGATGGGAAGTAAAGCACATCATAAGGATTATATATTGCATTGGAACCCATGTCCAGAAATGTCATTGTATGCTGCTAGGGCCAAAAGAATAAACTTTTTTACATGTACCTTTGAACAGGCATTTTTATTATCTAAACTATATTTATTTAGTGTTAATTTTATCTAATAATTGTCGAAAATTGCATTCAAATTGACACGCAAATAGTTGTTTTATAGTAATTTAATGATTTGACGAACTTATCAAATTAGGCATCAAATCAGTAAATTACAATTAAAAATCCAATACTAAATACAATTTTTGACAATTATTATAAAATATAAAATCAACAAGAAAGTAAAATAATTTAGAGAAAATAAAAGCACTTGTTCAAAAACAAATGTAGAAACAGTTCGTAATAGGCATACAGTGACATTTCTGGTGGTCATGGGTTCGTACGCAATTCTTAATCCTTATGATGTGCCTTATTTCCCCTTTAATTAGTCCCATGATTTTAGAATCACTCTGTATATAGTAGCTTATTCTAGTAAACCTCCTTAATATTAGTTCTAGCTTTTTCGTACCAGTATCTCACCTATGTTATTTAATTTGATTGAATGTATAGTTTAAAGGTTTAAGCTAGCTGAAATCCACTATATCGCAGAGCACATGAGCATTATGTACACATCGCTAAGAGATCAAATGGTCTTTTAAATTAAACCTGTAACATAAAAAAAAGTTAAGTAGATAAAATTACTGGGTTGTATTTAGTATTGATGAGATTTGTATTTAGCGAAAAAGTATAGATTGATACAATAGAAACAGTTATTTTGATTAAAATTGGCTATTGACATTATTGTCTCAAATTTCCTAATCTAAAACAAAAGCTATTTAAAAGTTTCATAGTAAATTTGGTTAATTATTAGATTATCATTAGTTTGTTAAAAAGTTTCTATTAGGCAGTATATGACTAATTTGGACAAATATAGTTTTTGTATAATTTTTTTTTTTACCAAGCTAATAGATATTAATATACCAATTTTTATTTTTTAGCAAATTTATTCAATTTACATTCATTTTTAAAATTAATAATAGCAACGTCCTAAAAAAAAGCTTCATGAACATATAACTTGAAACTGATTTGTGAAACAATAAAAAGTTCTGAATTTATTGTTTATACACAATGGCTGAAACAGGAACACTTGCCATTTTCCATTTTAGATTACAAGTCAAACATTAATATATTAAAGTATATATTTTCAAGTCAATAACATTGCTAAAAAAGATATATTAAGTATTATTACAATACAATTAACAAAATTGTAGAAATTATTGACTTGCAATGTCTAACTCAATTGGCATCCTTAACTTAAAGCTAGAACAACCAATATCAATCAACTTTTATAAGCGAGAACAGTCAGAGTCAAACTTAACAGAAATGATCCAATGCCATGCCATTAACATAAAAATAGTAAATATATATTTCACCAAATATATTAACCAAAAATTAAAAATAATTTCTGAAAACACTGAAATAATGAAGCTTTAGCATGTTCTTGGATAGAAATTTAAATAGCATATAAGTCAATAATTTAAAAAATACATATAAAATTAGTTTTAATTTACAAGAAAAGAAACAAACTACATAAATGTCAACTTCTCTTAAAACGAAAAAAAAAAGTTACAATATATTTATGCTAAAAAAATGACTAGAAGCCAGGTTGATACAAATACAAAATTCAAGCTATCAATCAATAGTGATGCATGCATTCAAGAAAATTTTTTTTAAGTATAACAATACTTATAAAGAAAGATATTTTCAATTCACATTTAGTTTCCAACTGAAACTAGCCCAACACAAGATATTCAAAAAGAAACCTCAGTACAAGAGCTGGAGGGCCTTTAAAACTTTTATGACTGAATTTCACTAATTTGGATTTTAAAAAAAAATTTGGGTATTATTCAGGCAACAGTGAGAACTGCAAAGAGAATCGTTCTGGAGAAGCTAAAACCCAATGTTTATGATATGTATTTATAAACTTCAACTTTATTTCTCAATAAAATATAAATAAATAAAAACATATATAAGTTTGATTTTTATTTATAATATTTATTTATATGTATAATATTTTTTAAATAATTGAAGAATAGTTTCTCAGCCAGAAAACAATGATTATTTTAAACAATAAATCAACAAAATACATTTAATTGAAAAATTCATACCTTACAAGCTTGAAATAAAATTGCAAAAATAAGTTTTTTGAACGGCAAGCATGTGTTTCTCTATGTGAAACTAATAAAGCCTCGGCAACAACGAGGGCACTTAAAGCTGTGATGACTCGGGGATAGAGCATTTGCCTTCCAAAGAGGTGAATCTGGATTGAATCCCAGCAATGGCTGGTCGTTACGAATTCTGCACTAATTCACAGTCACCAGTGTCTGACAAAAAATATCGTCAGTGGTAGACAGATCATGTGTGAGAGTCCCCTTGCCCTCAGGTTAACTGTGGGAGGTTTTCCTCGCCATGCAACACAAATGCAGGTTCCATCAAAGTCCTCCATGAAGGCAAATTTCTCCCAATACTTGATCCATGAGTTGCCTTGTTTTCTGGATTGGGTTCAATATAACAAAGCTACAGAGTTGAACATTAATAGCCAGAAAAATCAAAAAGTTGGGTCGGCTGTTCAACAACAGTTATAAAATAAAATGAGAGCACTTATAAAGCCTATATTCAGTGTGCATACTCAAATGATATCATGTGATAACATTAATAAAAATTATAACATATACAAGTTTGATTTTTATTGATAGATGTGTTGTTTTAAACAAAGGGAGGAATAGTTTTTCAGCCAGAAAACAATGATTATTTTAAACATTAAATCAACAAAACACTTTAAATTGAAATATTTATACCTTACACGCTTGATTTAAAATCATAAATTATCAGAAAAATAAGTTTTTATGTACAGCAACCATATGTTTCTTCATGTGAGATTTACTAATAAAGCCTCGACTACAATGAGGGCACTTATAAGGCCTATATCCAGTGTGCATACTTAAGTGATACTTAAGATGAGTCGTATACATTGATGAATAGTTGCAATATGGACACTTGTGCATCTTTCTATTTAAGATCTTCCCATCAGCTCCTTTTATAGAAATATTTCGTTGGTAATTACTAAAATTCTCATCGGGTGCTACAAAGAAAGCCACTGAAAATAATTAAAAAGAAATGTCAACTTAAATATTTAAAGATTAAGCTTGTTTATTCTAAAATTATTAGCTATCTGTTAAAAAATATATTATAACTTATTAGAAAATTATGAAAATAAGTTACACTTCTGCATTGGAAAATAACAAACAAAAAAATTATTTTATCGAAATGAATGATTATTAGTGTAAATTTTTAAATAGCATGAGAGACAATTTTCAGTTTAATCACAAACAGTGCTAGAAACTAAAAATAAAAAAATGAAAAAAAATTTATAGAAAACCTCAGAAATTTATATTGATTTCATTTTATGCTTAATTTTACACTGTGACAGGTAAATTTATGCATAAATGGTTAAATTAAGACAAGTAAAGTTAAGCCTAATCAAAAAAACTGTATTACTGCAATAGTTTAACTATAAGTCAATTTAAGCCAACTGAGGGAAAAAATAAAATGTTTTGAAAATGTTATATTGCTAAACAATACATTTGCAATTTTTTTAAATAAATACACAATCAGATAGCTTTACAGCTATAACGTTTTGTTTCCACAATTATAAAAAATTTTCCATTAATTTTGTAATGATTTAATTGATTCATTTTTGTCTTATATATATTTTAATTAATGTTTTTATATTATCTGCAATGTTAGTTATTAACATGTGTTTAAAGTTAAATATGCCAGAAATAAATTGGAGGCTAAGAAAAAGAATTGTTTTAATACAAATCCCTATGAGTGATTGTTTTTATCATTGATAAAAAGAAAAATGCTTCTTTTAAACCCAATAATATCTTTAATAAAGCAATAAAAATATGTATATATATTTGTTTGCCACATAGGTATTTTATTTGATAAAATCATATTTCGATATAACTGAATGAGCCTGTGACCATGATTCATACAGAAAATTTGGAATATATTCTTGTCTGTTTTTATAGGAGAAAAGAATATAAATAAAGTTTTGATTTGCATGATTTGAAAGTATGACCTTTGGGAAAGGCTGTCAATTTATTTTTAAGAGAAACACATTCATCAACCATAAACTAAACTAGAAACTTAAGATAAGATTTTTCAGAAATATACCTCGTTTTGCTGGATAAAAATAAATAAATAATAATAAAGATAAAAACAAATAATTTTCTTAAACAGAAAAAATCTTTAAAAAAAATCTAAAATTAGTTAATGAATTATAATTTGCCTGCAGAAACAATTGATTCGCAAACCTATCGCTCACTTCCTTGATATTATATGCATACAGTTAAGTAAGCAATAACAGAAATCTCAAGTTAGATATTTTTAAAATTTGGAAAACTTAGAAAACAAAACAATTTATATTAAGAAAATACAATTAGTTAATATCACACTTTAATATTATATTTAAGAAAGAATGAAAAAGAAATAAACATTTTTTTTACAAAGTTTATAACATATTAAATATTGAAAAAAAATAAAGTATAACGTATATAAATCATATGAAGTGCTGAACACATTTGCAATTCATAAATACAGCAATTTGCACAAATCTTAAAATTTTTCAGACATAACATTAATTTCAGAATAAATTAAATTTATCCTATTGGATAGCTCATTTGCGTAAGATATTTATACTATTTATTGCTAAAGTCAAACTGAATATTTGCATCATTCAGTGTTAAAAAAGAAATTTAACAACAGGCAAAAAAAATTTTAAATATTATTTTAATGTACCGGAGTATTTTGAATAGCATAAGAAGAAACAAATAACATGAGTACATGTTTTGAGTACACCTTATGAAAATATGTAATAAATTGATCTAGAATAGAATAGCAGAAATATTCAGGCTTACGCACTTACGAAGTTATACATTTTACCAGAAACCAAATTTATATAGGTAAAGTTTAAATGAGATAACATCCTATTTGCTCTGTTAAAGGACTACTTTTCTAAGGTTCCCACTAATGGAAAACAATGATAAATTTTTGTATCCATTGCTATAATATTACAAATGTAATGCATCATAATTTTTTGATAAAATAGATAACTTTTGACTTACCTATATAAAAATATACACATAATATAAGAAATATTATAAACAAGAAAAAAATGCAGATAATAGTAGAATGATGCATAAAACAATAAAAATACATGACAAAATACTATATAATTTTATTTTATATATAAAATGATATTTACATTTAAATAAAACAATGATAAATATTTCATAAATGGGTATGTAACAAAAGTTTTAACATTAATGGAAAACATTATGCTATTTAAAAACATAGATGTTTCCCTACCTAATGAAAATTTAAACCAGTGACAATTAAATAAAAACAAATCTTTTAAAGACAGAAGACATCAAATTTTCGGAACAATGGTTAATGCTATTTTTACAAGGTGAAATACGAAGAGGTCCCACTATTCTAAAAAATTTATTAATGAAATAGGGATTTAAATTTTTACGATTTATAAACTTCGCCAAATTTGGAACCATACATTTAATTCAATTAAAAACTTAAATAAATCGATTTCGGTCTTTTGAATGTTATTGCCTATTTAGGATAGATATTTGTATAAATATTAAATTATTCACAAAGAAAACATTAGCTTTGAGCTTTATATCATTCATATTAATGGGAAAAAATATGTAGAAAATAAAACATAATAAGTAACCACAATGTTTTGTTAATTCCCTTTTTCTTTACTAATGCAACCTGCACTTAGTTTGATTGGTATAGCATACTTGCCAACTTTTACGTAAAATTTTTCCGAAAAGCAACAAACTTTATACTTTAATGCATCATTCTAGGTTTAAAAAAATTTGATTTAAAATGATTATAGTCACCACAAAATAAATAATTAAAAAATAATATATCAGAAACCTGAAAATTATGCAGTGGATGTATGTCAAATTTTAAAAATGTACTAATTTACTTTAATACTTTTACTACCACTGAGAAAACCCCTTAGCAAAAATCGTAAAAGTCAGCTACGGTAAGCATCTGTAAAGTGGCTGAAGATATTGTCTGAAGAAGAAAAAAAAACACTCTTCTACAAAGTTAAAAATTTTCTGACATGATACTTTGAGTAAATATTAATAAAAAAAGTATTTGGAAACAGTAAAAATATACTGAATCAAGATATATGAATAAACAATTCTAAACTTTAGAAATTGCATAAATAATTTAGCTTCTTTTCTCTTTTGAAAATTTTATCTTTAATTATTTTTTAGTTGAAAATTGAAATTTTTTTTAAGCATTACTATTGTATCTTGGAAATTAATTTCTCACAATAGAAAACTTTAAAAAACAAGTAACACTGAAGCATGTTTCATCTATAATTAAATAATAGGTTCTTGTAACTATTATTACCTATAACTTCTGAGTAAATGAAAACCATAAATAAACCAAATAGAATATAATATAAGTACATGACAATGCACCTTAAGAAGCCCTTCCTCTTCCATTCTAACTCAACTGTCAAAGAGGTAGTTACGAGGAGGGAAAATTCTAAACATGCTTTTAATTTAATTTTCACAAATAAATTGATGATGGATGTTTACTCCATTTGGCACTACCCTTCGATACATGTAAAATATAAGTGCCCATCACAGATACGGAATTTAAAATATAAAACACACGGTATTTTAGAGTCTTCATAAATTTTTTTTCACAAAATTAAGCCAATAATATTCTGCGATCAACAATTTTTGAATGATATTTAAATAGTTAACAGTTATTAGTGTTTAGATTTTTGATAATTATCTTTATTTTTGCAAGTGATGTTAAAGAAAACTTTTAACGACATTCAAATCACATTTCATTTATCTAAACTGCAATAAAATTAGATTCTAAAAAATCTAAAAACTAAGAAACATACAGTTTTAAATTGCTTTAAAATTTTCTGAACTTACAACCTACAAATTTAGGATTTGTATCAATCCAAAAACATGTAAATTATTAATAACTGGACAGTTTATAGCATTAAACAATTAAAAATGTAAGGAATACTGAAGATAAATAAATTTTTATAAGTGAAATACCACTTAATATCCTAATCAATGGACAATAATATCTAGATACTTTTCTGGAAAGTAAAATGCATTACTAGTCATGAAAAGAAAATCCGTAAATTGGGATTGCTGTAAATTGGGAACTTCAAAAATATTTTATATTTTTAAAGGGTGGCAAATAGAGCCATTTGAAATTAAAAAAAAGCATTTTTCAAGAGAGGGATAAGAGTGAGTATCTTTTCCATAGAAAAAAAAGCTTGTACTAGTATTAAATTGTAAAATGTTTCCTTTAACCAAATTGTAACATATTTTATAAATAAAGTTTACCAATTATATAGGACAGTGAGAAAGCTAATTTTCAGAAAATAAAAAAAAAATGTAAAGAGAAAGAGAATTTAATTTTGCAAATTAAGTACTCTTATAATGATTCATTATGTTAGCATATATTTAACTTTTCCAACAACAATAAGAAAATTGATTACCTTTTTTTTTCCGCCATCATACAATTTAAGAAAAGATAAAATAAAGAATTTTAACACAGAACAATGCAGTTTCTATGCTGCAAAATTAAAATAATAAAAATTATTAACACAAACCATTATAACTGTTATGTTAAAGCTAAATGTTTTTGTCTACCTTCTTGCATAGTTCTTTATTAGACATTATTAAATGATGGGATGGTAAAAACAACAAAAACAAATAAAATTGTGCATAAAATGTTGCATTTACGAAAATGTTGACACAAGGATTTCAATAAATTATTTAATAGCTTTTTTCCCTTTCATTTTTCAGTTTACTAAAATAAACGATTAACACAATAATATACTTTATTTATGCAATATATTTGGCTCTGCATAAAATATAATGATTGTTTAAATGATGTTTCAGAGCAAATCGTTTACAACAGAACGAACATTCGAAAGGTTTTTCACCAGTATGTTTCTTCTGGTGGTTCTTCATTGAAGTAATATAGATAGTAGAATAATTACAAAATGGACAAAGATGAACTTTTTTGGCCTTCTTTGGTTTAGAAAAAGAGAACATACTTCCATAGATAACTGAAAGAAAATTAAATTTATTAAAAAGCATTCAAATATGTCTTTGAACCAAAAGAAGTTTTTTGCAAAACAATAACAATCTTTTAAAATATGCGTACATTTTTTTTTAATGGGCATAAAAGTAAATACAGACATTTATAAATTGCAAGTAATAAATATCGTTTATTAATAAGTCATAAGCCAATAGGACAGGACTCATGTGAAAATATATATTATTATTTTTAAAGCTATGTTGTTTGAAAATAAATTAAATATTTAGGTTAAGCAAATTATTAAATGAAAGAAAAGTTTATTAAAAAAATTAAAAACTAAACTGTACTAATGTAAAATGGTAAAAAGCATAAATAGCTTCTTTTGCTTTTTTACATCATAATCATCTTTAAAAATCATAAAACAATAAATCAGGGGAAAAAATGATTTATATTCGCAAAGTACAGAAAGAGATATATGTTATAATGCAATCGATAGAAATAAATTTTAATTACCATAAAAAGTACTTTTTTCTTAAACTGCTAAGCGTGCGTTTTTAAAGCCTAGATATATTTTATATAATTATTATACCAAAGATTTTTTGCTTTTTGTAATTTAAAAATAAAGTTTTTTTAAAAAAAGAGTAAATAAAAGGGTTGATATGTAGACTAAATCTTATACTTTGAAGTTTTTTTTTTTAATTTTATTTGCATTATGGAGTTGTAATAATCTTGAATAGGTGTATGTTAATATATGTTAGCTGTTGAATATTAATATAATAAATGTAATAAAGTATATGTTATTGAATGAATTCTTATCATAACACCTATGAAATATTTGTAAAACACATGTCTGACCTGAAATTTTTTAAGTTGTCTGATTTTAAAATTATATATCTTTGATACATTCCCTATATGATGATAAAAATTGGGAAACACTAATAAAACCAGAAATAAAAAATGAGTAAACATAAGCAATTTTAAACTATTTATATTAATTTTCATTCATTAAAAGCTCTTATAAAATGTTTGTAAATCAAACATCTTTACTTGGCTATTTTTTCCATTTTAAAATTAGTTATCTTTCATAACATAGAAAAATAATAATAAATTAAAACACTAATAAAAACAGCTGTTTCTGCATAAATAAACAATTCAATAAGAACTCAGACATAGTAATAAAATTTTTTCATTGACCTATGTCTCTATTATGAACAAATTTGAAATGTACGAAAAGAAAAATTTTACAGATGTATACAATGCACATACCTGATGACATATAGGTAAACTCGGTTTTAAATATTAAAACTATGTACATCACAAATGCTATTAAACATTGCATACACTCCGCAATGATGTGCATTAAAAAAAACATGATCCATTCTGTTGATAAAATATACATAAAAAATGAACAATTGTTTCAATGAGTGGTAGATAAAAACTTTTAATTAATTACTGAAAAAATTTTAAACATCAAAGAGATTACCATAAAAACTAAATGGTAGGAGGTAGTCAGGCAAAATGGCCACTTTTTTGTTCAGATAACATACTAAAACTGAGCAAAACTGTTGGCATGAATGATTTCAGGGTTAGCTGTAATTTTAGAATTGGTAAGCAAAATTTTCTATAATTTTTTTTAAAACATTTTGTTAGTTTTTATTTTCCTAATGTCTGATTTAATATGAATAGCACAAACTGTTGATTGTAGTTAAAAATTAGTATAATAATTATTCTTTGTTAAGCAATTTGATTTTGTGGTTGTCGTTAAAATGTAATGTTAAACCATTCATGAAATTTTTCCTAAGACACATTTTTCAGTAATGTTGTAAAAACAGGAAGGATCATTCTTATTTGCCGTGGCCGTGCAAAACAGACAACTAGTCATTGGCAGAGCTTTTAAACAATTTATATATTGAATTTCTTTTGTTATTTTTAGGTCAGGAAATAGGTTTATAAATCCCAATACAATTTTGATTTTTGATAAATCATATTACATTGATAAATAATTATTATTTACTTTATTTTGTGAAAAATTACTTATTTTTAATGAGCATTATTTTAGTTTATGTTTATTACAATTTACACTTAATACAAATTTACACTTAATATGATTTGCTTATTTCTCTTACTTTGTACAATTTGAAAAGACATTGTAAGCTACAGGACTTTAGAACAGAGAACTTTCAAATTTCTGGGTCCTTTAGTACAAAAAGCGAGCTCTGATTCAAAATTATTCTATTTATTGCTAAGCAAAATAAAGAATTTCAAAATAAGTTAATTATGTTTGAAGAGTTTTTAATTAGACTGAGAAAACTCCAGAATCAAGGAAAAGCAATAATGTAAGTTAATGTAATACTCAGTAAAAAAATAAAAAGTAAATATTTTTTATGCATATTTGAAATTTGATTATCTTTGGCCTAAACGCCATTTTTTCTCAATTCTCGCTAATAGTAGCATCAGCAAAATCACTGCTGTGTCTTTAGTGTTTAAAAACTATTACAGGAATTGAAACATAATATTAAAATTTCTATTACATATTTTAATAATTTTACTGATTAAAACCTGAGAGTGGTCACTTTGCCCACACATCGAGTATGCGCATTTCCATTAAAAATAAGTGGCTGATAATGAGTTACAAAGTACTCATATAGATATGAAATTGATGAGCAATTAACACCATCATCTTTCTTAAAGAACGAACTCCAGTTTCTTCTGACATAATTTAGCATGGCTTTGTAAACTAGAATTTCTAGTGAAGCACTTATTACAAAGAATACATTTAAATGGCTTTTCTCCTGTATGCCTTTTGAGATGATCTTTAACGTGAGTAGTATAAATTGAAGAATATTTACAAAATGGGCATAAATGCAGAATTTTCTTGTCAATCTTAATTGCAGAAATAATAGCATCTGAAAAGAACAAAGTTGATTATAATATATTTCAGGTTGAAATCTTATTCATCATCATTTTTAAAAGCTATAATCATGAATATTAATAAATCATACATTGATAACTAAAAACAAAAAAGAGAATGATTTTAAAAATTTTTCATGCCTCTGGAAAAAGTAAATTCAAGTTTTGTTAGCATTAATTTTCTTATGTATATATATAAAGATACTTTAAGATAAATATGTAAACTCCTAATATAAGTGAAACTAGAAAAGCAAGTTGTTTTTTTTAATCATTTCTGAACAATTTGCACACTGATCAAATAAAATATAAGCAGTATTTTGATGCAAAGCAAATTTGAAATTCACAAAAAAAAAAAAAAAAATTGGCAACAAACACACTGTCTCTTAAGTTTGTCTGGAATATGTTTCTTTCACTCAAAGTTGTAGTATCAAAATGCTAAAATGGCATACTCTTCTAATCATATCCATTTAAAATTTACAAAAGATTAACTTCTAACTTTTACACAATTTAAAACTGAACAGTTTGTAATTCAAGTACCACAGCAAATCAAATTTTAAGTAAAAGCAGATAATTTTTTTTTTTTAGAAAAAAAAAAGATACACCATTTATAATGTCTTCTTTTCTAACTCTGCCGCACTGGCTCTCTCTACAATAGAATTCCTTATTACTCTTTTCACAGAATTCTTCTTCCAATTTTTTATTTTCATTTTTTTCAGATTTTCCCGAACTTGATCCAGCCATCTTAGCTTTGGTCTTCCTCTTTTCCTATAATAATTTTCTTAGACGATTCTGTTTTCTTTTTTTCTTCTTTCTTTTGACTTGTCCTATCCACTGTATAATTTTAGCTTTGATAAATCTCATGCTTTTCCTTTTAATTAACTTTCGATTTCATGCTTATATCCTTTTATCCATGTTTAATTTTCATTAATGGCTTGATAAATTCTTCTAAGCTCAAAGTTTAATATATTTTCATTGTTGTTGGATAAACTCTATGTTACTTTTGGCCTTATTATTGTTTTATATGTCTGCATTTTACATTTTCTCGAAATTAATTTACTTTTCAGTTATTCATTAATTTGAAACGCTACCTTATCTCCATTTTGTATCTGTTTATTCAGTCATAAATTTCAAATTTATTGTTTATTTCGTTACCAAAATAAGTAAAGGTCTTTCTGCACTGAATAATTTTATCAATTTTTAAATTTCATATTTGTCCTCTCTCTTCCACCTTCGACATAATCATGAATTTCATTTTGATTCCATTAATATTTAGACCAATTTCATTTGTTTTTCTGTAAGTTCTTCTATTAATTGCATTAGATAGTCTATTTTTTACTCTTGCAATAATTACAATATCATCCGTGCATGCACAAATTGTGAAAATAAATTCTAATTCAACAATATGGTAAGCAAAGGCCAGAAGCCATATGAGAGTTTTAGGCAGGACTCAAATCTGGGACAGAAGAGCGTGTAAGAAATTATTTTGGCCATCACTCAATATTTATATAAATGATTTTGCTTTTATGACTGTTTAACACTTTTTATGATAGTATAAAGATTACAATGTCTCAAAATAGGCACTTGCTCAGAAAGTAATACACATTAGTGGCAATTCTTCTACATGCATTAAATACACTTTATATTGAAATAGAATATTCTATTTAATTGAAACACCATGGCTCAGTGGTTGTTGTTTCTAATCCCCAAGAGGTCCATCCTAATTAGACCCCATAAGTCCAAAAATGTCCAGGAAGTCTAAAAACAGAGGAGGTTTTGAAAAAACCTCGTCGATCTTAAATTCGATACAGTTTAGAATATGCTCGGGCGAAGCCTGAGCAGTCCTACATTTAGTGCAAAGTCCAAAAGTCTTTTGCCCCTGAACATACGAGAGACACCTCAAGTGACCACTTGCAAAGCGAGATAAACAAGTCTGCTGGCTTCTAGGTGCCTCAAAAAGCAAGGCACTTCCAGGTCGTTTTCTGAAATACCAACTATGCGGAGGAGGAACCCTCCAGAGGTCCATAAACATTTTTTTGCACTCTGGCTCAGTGGTTCAGGCCCTGAACTGTTGCAGTGAAGATCTGAGGTTAAAATGCAAGCGGTGGTTTGAAGATGATGATTCAGATTGAAGGGTACCAGCTTGT